GGTCTAGTCAGCCTATCTAGAGTACCTTGTTTTAGGAAGATCAGCTCTTCCTTACCTAGCAGTCATCAGTTGCCAGTATTTCTTCAGCTAAGATTGGGGTCTGTTGTCCATTTTCCCAGTTCTATCCTGGGTTCCTGTCTGCCTGAGTTTTTGTGGGGCTTGTGTATGCTGATACCATTGCCATAGAATCATATGAGCAGGTTCCCAGGAGCTTGTAGGACTCTTGTTTCCGTATGGTCCTGCACCTCCTCTTTGGCTCTTACAATCTTTCTGCCCCTTCTTCCCCATTGTCCCTGAGCCCTGGGTGGGCGTAGTTTAATATAGGAGTCCTGTCCAAGGACCAGCATTCTTCACACTCTTAATCTCTATGTTTTGGCCATTTGTGACCTTTTGTGTTCCTGGCCTTCTGTTGCATGAGGGAGTTTCATTAATGACAATTGAGAGATTTGTTAGTGTCCTCTTCTTAACTCATTCTATGTTCCATGAGCCTTAGGTATAGACATTGCACTGTAGCTGTGTCACTTAGGCCTGGGCAATTCATAGACAATGTTTGTGTGTTACCAGTTGTAGTACTTGGCAAGAGTCTCTGACTGGTGCACAATAAGCTTCTTTGATGAGTGGTGACTGGGAATTTGTCTGTAAATATAAGGTTACATAATTTGCATGTAGTAAGAAATCATAGTAGCCTAGGGATGTGACAGTCTTGGGGTTTTGTCTAAGATCTATGACCTCTCCAGTCATGTGTATTTGGTTATGTTTACAGTACCACACTTGAGTTTTCTCCCATTGAGTGGCTTTTAGTAGTAAGCTTTTAAATTCTTTGTCCAGCACTTTACTCATTTTAGTGGCTTGGAGTTCATCAGTTGAGAAGTTATGGTCTTTTTTAAAAATATATTTATTATCTTTATTTTATGTGTATGAGTGTATTGCCTGCATGTATGTGAGTGCACCCGTGTTGTGCAACGTTGCAAAGGTCAGAAGAGGGCTTCGGATTCCCCTGGAACTGGAGTTAAAGACGGTTCATAGCCGCCATGTGGGTGCTGGGAATCAAACCTGGATCCTCTGTAAAAGCAGTCAATGCTCTTAACCGCTGAGCCATCTCTCCAGCCCCAAGAAGTTATGGTCTTTGAAAGGACTCATGTTGCCTTTTTGCAGTACTTTTGTGCTATGATGTGCTCATCTATTGGTTTGGAGAGCTCTTCCAGTTTAATTTGGGGTCCGCTTAGTGAGTTCAAGCCCCGGTAATGCTCAGACAGGAGAAAACAAAGTGCAGAACAGCAACAACAGCCAACCAAACAGGATGTAGAAGTGCGTTCAAACCAACGAAAGCCCACCACATACCATCGAACACATTGTCCATGATCACAGGACAGAAAATGGCAAAAATCACTTAGCATGTTCTATGTAGTCCAAAATAATTTAGGCTTAATGTAGACATAGTAAATAAACGGGATAAAGGAAGGAGACAGAGAAGGGGAGAAGCAGAGTAGAAACAAGGTTAAATTAAAGAAGGGCAGAGTTGAAAAGAATAATCTGAAGGGGCAGTGGGAAGGGCAAGACGGAAAATTTGAGGGGCGTAGGGGAGGCTCAGCGAGTACAGTGCTCGGGTACAGGCATAGGTTCAGACCCCCCAGCGTCCACAGAAATGCTGGGTGTGGTGGTGCAGGCCTGTGATCCCAGCACTGGGGGCGCAGAGGCAGGAGGATCGCCTGAATGCACTGATCAGACAGCCTGGCTAAGTCGGTGAGCTCCAGGCTAAGTAAATGGTCCTCTGATTTTGAGGATGATGCCAGGTGTCTACTTCTGCCCTCCACACACATGCACAAATATTCCTATGTACCACCCACCAACATACACAAATAAATATACACACAATTTTTAAAAAACTGAAATATTGGCCAATAATGAAAAAAATCCCCAAATAAAATTAATGTAAGAAAGGGAATAAAAATAAAAATGTTAAAGCTCTTAAGAGTAAGATAAAGTAAATATACTACAAAAAGTAAAACAAGAGGTGCATAAGAGGCAAGGAGAGAAAGCAGTTTGCCTAATAACGAAAAACACAGATGTAAAAAATGAACAGAAAGAAAAAGCATAAACGTTTTTTGTAAAATATCAACAAATTTTAAAAAAGACATATTTTGAGGAGGAAGCATAAAAATTTACTTCATGTTAAATAGTAGAGGTGATAAACATTACCAGTGAAATCTACCTGATGGCTTTATATCCATACTCAGGTACTAAGGATCTGAGTGTAACCGACTGTGACTAGTTATAATCAGATACATAGCGATTAAAGGCACATGCGCAAACATCTAAGTGTTAGTAGCATTAAAAATATAGGAAGCAGCATATTTTAAAATGAAATGAAGATCTTCTTCAAAGGGTAAAAACTCATTCAATTTTATGTCTTACAGGGTTTATACTGAGTTCAATATTGTATAACTGTATTAATTCAGTTGTGAACCTAAAAATTTACAGCCACTTTTGAATGAGATGTATCCTTGTTCTGGAATGTGTTACTGAATGTGTTAAAGCTATAATGAAATGCTTCTTCTAATCATGTGTTTATTAAATAAAAAAATTTTGTAAACAGAAAAAGTAAAAACACCATGAAAAACATAGTAAAAAGCAAAAACGGGAGAAACACACAGGGCAAGGGAAGCCTTGGAACAGCCACTTCTGGATGGATCCTTGACATGGGAGTCTCCCCGTGAAGGGGTGGGGTGTCAGCTGAAGCAGCGGATTCTTGTCCTTCCCATGATTTATGTTGGCATTGAACCTGCACCGAACAAGGGTCAGGTGTCCACCGCAGTTGTCCTCACTTACGTAGCTTCCCTTCTTTGCAGGGGCATCTGCTGGCTGGGCAGCTTCGCCTACCTTACTGGGACTCCCCAGTCTGTACACCCGGGGGTGGCTAGTGTTCTAGTTGGCCGTTTCTCCCAGGGTTAAGAGTGGAGGAAGCAAGCACAGCACTGAGTATTCATCACCCTTTGGAGGCATGTCTCCGTGGATGTCCGCTGCACATTCAAAGTCCTCAGTCTCTGCAGCAGTGAGCTACTTCACCACAGATAGGTGGCCCAGAGGTTGATCCACCTCCTGACCTCAGGTCCATAGCCTCCGCAGAGACATTCTTGATTGATGTGGTCAGTGTCTGGCCCCTGGGGGTGGGGCTGCCTTGCCCTATATGCTACACAGCTGGGGCTGAACCTCCTGCTGCCTGTGCTTTTGGGCTTGTCGGTGTCTGGCCCTCCCCATCTGCCTTCCACAGCTGTCTCACCCTGTGACTATGGCAGCTTGAATTCTGCTTCTTTGACTTGTGATTGTTCTTTGATCTCAGGCTGTCAGGGCAGCTCAGTTTTAAGCAATAGGTTCAACTCTCCTTTTTTTTTTTCTCTGAGACAGCATCTCCTTGCAATCCCAGCTGACCTGGAACTTGCTCTGTAGACTATGCTGACTTCTATCACTTGGAGATCTGCCTGCCTCTGCCTCCTGTGTGCTGGCTTAAAGGCATGCACCACCATGCCTGGCAATGGGTTCCCTCTTAAGATGGCTCCTGGTCACAACCCTCTGAGTCAAATAGAATGACAAAAGGAAATTACTCTCTAGGCTGACCTGTCTTGACAGAGCAGTCACTGTTTCACCAAAACTAGTAACCAGATTTTTTTGAGGCAAAAATATGAATATTAAATGCTTCCATAGTAATCTGGAAATGTTAGTATTTCTGTTACTCTGGAATCTCTTTGTGGGAAGCAATGTTTTTTACATTTTTATAAAAATATACAGAGCTTGGGTAGTTGGTACAAAGGAAGTTAAGACATCCTGTTGATCTATTAATTGTGATCTTGGGTGATTTAGCACCTATAAGACATAGAAAATAATCAGATTTGAAAGGCTCAGAATATAATATCTAATTCTCGTAAATTGTCCTGTTTACCCAAGGAGCAGGATATGGGGAGTGACTCTAACGGAGACAGGAAATTTAGAATGAACAAGAATCTGAGAATTTAGTAGCTAGAGCAAGGGTGTGACGTTAGTCCCTTCTCAGTTTATAGTTTTCTTATGAGGAGTACCTTTCATGTGGAATGAAAATGGAATGTGGAGACTGACCCTACAGATTGCTGAATAGGACCAATGTCAACACCATAAAGAACTCAAGTCATAGTTGTAATCAAAACATCAGCTCTCGTTATCTACCTACATATGTGGGTGTGGGGTCTACATATGGAAGTGCACTGTAAACAGCCTGACTTCCCTAGCCTATGCCCTTGATGAAAGGCATCTCTATGAGATTGCAGGGGATTCTGTCCATAATGTCTTCACAACTGGAAACCTCAGAACATGTCTCTCTTTTTCTGCCTGTGTCCCTGAATGGAATATGGTCTCACTTTCCTTAAATCTCTAGAGCACTTTGTCTCTAAGGGATTAACACATTTTTATGCATGGACTGGCATGCCTACTGATCCATAAATACATTTAGGGTAAGGATAGCCATATGGCAGTGGCTTAAGACAATGCATTTTGGAGCCAGACTACCAGACTCGAATGCTGCATCTTCAGCCTAATAGTGGTGTGACCTTGGCTGAGTCACCAAATCCTTCTGTGTCTCAGTATGGTAAGGAAGAGGAAATGAGTTAAAACATGGAGGATCTAGAATAATACATGGCATATTTTAAGCACTATGTAAATATTAGCTCCCTAATCTTCTCATTCCATCTAGCATCAAGAACAGTATGCATAGGTTTGAGAAGCAGCAGGATTTCCCAAACCTTCATTTACTGTAAGGAGATGAACAGGTAACATATACAACATGGTCTCCCCCTCTGGGTCCGTCTTTCACATCTACAGAATCACAGTACCACGAGCATTAGGCTGGAGCCAGCGGCTGAGAGAACACCTGTTTCTCTTCTTGTTAGTGAATAAGCTGAAATGAACCCTCTCTCAAAAGCACAGTAAAGATGGCAGTAGCTCTTAAGTGAATTCTTTTTTTATATTTCTAGTTCCCCCTGTTCAACCAGAAAACATCAAGATCTCCAACATCACAGACTCCTCAGCCGTGGTTTCTTGGACAATAGTGGATGGCTATTCTATTTCTTCCATTATCATCCGCTACAAGGTTCAGGATCAGAATGAAGATCAGCACATCGATGTGAAGATCAAGAATGTAACCATCAATCAGTACCAGCTTAAGGGCCTAGAGCCCGAGACCACCTATCAAGTGGACATCTTTGCTGAGAACAACATAGGATTGAGTAACCCGACCTTTTCTCACGAACTGGTGACTCTCCCACAAGATCAAGGTCAGTATTTCCAGAGTACTTTTGGATCAGAAATCCGCTCTGTCTTGAAATATTTGCCCCATATGTCTGTCATGTGACATAATTCATTTATCCTGATAAGTTTTATCATCTCTATGTAGGTCCTTAAAATAAAAACACCTTGAGACCTTTTAGGATCGCTTCTGATCCATTTTCTACTATTAAACTAGAATTAGCTTAGTAACACACCCCATCGAGCAACTGAAGAAAAAAATTGAGTAATATGAATTTCAATTTTGTGGAGAAAGAGGTGTGTGGAATCTGCTTCTGGGAGGCAGGCCGTGTGGATGCTCCAGTGGGAGGAGGGTCTGCTTTCTGTTCTCTGTCCAGATGAGTTCTTTCAGCTTCAGTGACACCGTGCTGATCTGTTTTCTTCTACCTTTCTAAGCCGGGTTATTTCGACTCTAGGTCTTTGAGATGTCTAGGGATTCTCTCAGAGTGCCAAGTGCACTCTGCTCGCTGCTTGCAGTTGGTAAAAGCTGTTAAATATAATTCTTTCAGAGCCTGTTGTGGATGGGCTGCAGCATGACAGAATTCGCGTCTGTGCAAACGGCGCCACCTGGCGCTCTGTAGTGCTTTGTGTGTGCAAAGGAATGTAGACCTAGATGTCAGAGGTTTCGGCAACTGTCTGAATTTATAATTCAGAGTAGGATCTGCTTTTAGAGAAAATCTGATAGCACCAAAACGTTCTTGCTTTTCTTGTGATTTAAAAATACAATAAAATAAGCTACACTGATGATTCTGGAATGTTTTTGAAATATCCAAGGAACGATGCATCTACCAATTATGTATTGGAAGTGTAGTTCTTTGATCACAAACTTTATCAGGGCTTCATTTTTATGAGTACTGTATTTTGGTAAACCACATATAGGTACTAAATGCAAAGTGTATATAAAATGAAAAGATAAAAATTTAAAAACAAGATACCACAAAACAAAAAGTCCTTCACCATTATTGACATTTCTTGACAGAAAGATGATAAGACAAAATACTTTTGAGAAGTGGTATCTCTGAGTTCAACCTCATTGGGTTTTAAGGGAAGTAAGTAAGGATTAGACCAGTGTTCAGTGCTGTATTTTGACCTGAGCCTCAAATATTCTATATTTTCCCGTTTTTGTCCTTACCTTCCTCTCGCCATCAGTTATCATCAGATTTTCTTCATCAGCTTTTAACAAAATATTTTATTTATTATTTTTATTTTATGTATACAAGTGTATTGCCTGCATGTATATGAGTGCACCGTGTCATGCAATGCTGTGGAGGTCAGAAGACGGCATCGGATTCCCCTGGAACTGGAGTTAAGGACGGTTCATAGCCGCCATGTGGGTGCTGGGAATTGAGCCCGGATCCTCTGCAAGAGCAGTCAGTGCTCTTAACCACTGAGCCATCTCTCCAGCCCTTCATCAGCTTTTTAAAACAAGGAAAAAACAGAACAAGACAATATATCTTATGGATTCTATGCTTTTATTGTGACAAAAATGAAGTATTCATTGGGAATTGCAGTGCAGGGAGAAACCTCTTTGCTAGTTACTTAAAGTTAGACATCTAGTTATTCTCACTATTATTAAATAATATTCATTTACTTGTGCCCCTACTTGGAAGTAAAATTGAACAAGTGATATCAACAAATAGCCATTTGAAAGCACACTTGTACATAATAAAGATCTAACAATCCTGTGAGTCAGACACATCTCTGCCGAGTTCCAGAAAATGAATGTGTGATCCACTGACACTTAGTGAGTAGGTGGCTGAGGTGGACTTCTATGTTCCCTACACCGTTTCTTCTCCAGCAGGTAGCTTGGCCTGTCATCCATCTAAACTAATTCAGCTGCTTTGCCTCTGTTCCCCTACACAGCCTCTGCAGACCTTGGAGGAGGGAAGATGCTGCTTATAGCCATCCTTGGCTCGGCTGGGATGACCTGCCTGACCGTGCTGTTAGCCTTCCTGATCATGTTGCAGCTGAAGACAGCAAATGTCCAAAGGAGAATGGCACAGGCCTTCCAGAACGTGGTAGTATCTCATCTTGCTAGCTAATGAGTGCAGGCCCACATACTTTTGCTTTAAAGGTGTGAACTAGCAAATAATTCCCTTAGGCAAGTTTCATTCTTCTCCTTGGCTTCCATTATAAATGGGAGACAAAGAGCCTAACTACATAATTTCTTATCCAAGCCAGCACAACTTTGATATTGAAAAGGATACACTTGATAATGGTGCCGGAAGCCAGGCCTAAAACAGGACTCCTCCCCAAAATGTAATATATGGACATCCTAGTGATAAGTCAGTTACCTGAGAGAATCTTGCAACAGAACGAATTGTGCATTTTTGATGAAGGACATGAGGTTAACCAGACCGCAGCATGATGGGTCATTTCTCCGTTATGTGTGGCACTAAACAGGCTTCCCCACATTTTCCTGTTCTTAGTTTCCTTTTCCTACTTCTCACATCTCCCTTAATCCTGTCACTCATACGTGTAAGGGTCTTATGTATGCATATGCTTCTCATTGCTGTGAACAGTCCGTGGTCGGAACTGTGGCACATGGCGCTGCTCCATTCTCTTATCATATTGACCCTTAGCAAGATCTGTGAAATTGCACATTCTTAGCAGTATGTTAAAGCTTGAACATTTCTACAGCGGATGGCCTTTGTCAATTCTGTCTATGAAACACTGAACATGCTTCAAATGGAGTCTAGCTTCATGTGTCGGAGTGCCAATGTCCCCTTCCACGGAGGGCAAGGCAGATTCAAGTTCTGAGTCCATGCTGGTTCAGTCCTCTGGAGAGGAAGGATCAGTGAGGGTTTGGGAGTTTTGAGCTTGTCATGATATCAATGTTTTGTCAAGGTACTGTTAGCAGTCACTTGAATTCAGGAGGGAAAGAGACAGCGTGCTGGGCTTTGCTGTAAGCATAGTCGTGCTAGTCCAGAGTCGGCTTTAGAGAATCTTAACTATTAGGATGAAAGCATGGGAGAGTGTGAGAGCAGCCAGGTCAGAGCAGGACCAAGATGCTTCAGGAAAGTTCTCCCTGAGATACGCCCAGTGACTGCCAAGGGTTGCTTTCTAACCAGAGCTGCACACTGATCTGCACAGCAGAGAAAAACTCAAGTATGACTGAAATGGGGATGCAGGCGTGGCATGCATGCTGTTCTCTCTCCTTCGGCCTTTGCGGGCCCTGCTAGAGGGCGTGCAGTTCTGTAAGCAAAGGGTCCATCAGAGTGGGCTTGTCAGATGAAACCCATTTACCTTCTCATTCTAGAACTATATATATGACTTCTTTGTTTTCACCTTGTGTAAATACAAAAACAGATTACGCACCTTAGAATAACCAAAAGTCCTGACCCCAAAATGATGAAAAAAATACCTTTCCAGAGAGAAGAACCAGCTGTGCAGTTCAACTCAGGAACTCTGGCCCTGAACAGGAAGGCCAAAAACAACCCGGATCCCACAATTTATCCCGTGCTTGACTGGAATGACATCAAGTTTCAAGATGTGATTGGGGAGGGCAACTTCGGCCAGGTTCTGAAGGCACGCATCAAGAAGGATGGGTTGCGGATGGACGCTGCCATCAAGAGGATGAAAGGTCAGTGGTTAGAGACAGTCAGCACTTCACTGGGGTGGGGAGGCAATCATTTCCTATTGAAATCTTCCTGTGTGTGCTTCCAATCTTCAAGTCAAAAGCTGCCCTGCTCTCCAGGTGGTTGTTATGTACAGCTGAAGGTGGAGCTTCCTTTGAGAGAGAGCCTCAGGATGTAGATGCAAAGGGCAGAGCTAGGAGCCACTCAGACAGCACTAGAGCGTTGATTCCTGGGATTTGGTAATATTGGTGTTCTGCCGTTTACTGTGCATTTGGGGAAGTATCACTGCTTCTCATAAGGAGTGGTTCTCAAAACTGAGTATGTGTCCAAATTACCTAGACGACTTGTTCAAAAGCAGACTGATGGGCCCCACCTTGCACCCCAACCCCATTATCCTCTTGGATTCCCAGATTCTGATTTGGTGTGTCTGGGTAGTCAGAAAATGCATTTGTGATTTACTTCCAAGTAAGGCTGATCTTGTGGGTTTAAGATCTAGTCATAGATTTTATCTGCATCCAAATTCCTAGAGGGATTGTTAGAGAAACACTCACTTAAATGTCTCCACTCCTGATTATACTACATTCAAGTTTCCAGGATGCATAAGAAATGTTCCAAACAGACTTCCGCAGTACCTCTAAATGCTCAGGTTTGAAAACCAGTGACCAAAGAGCCTAAGAACCTGACCCTCCATCTCAGGCAACTTGCTATCCTTGGCTTACAATTGCCCATAACTCCAGTTCCAGGGTATCTGACACCCTCTTCTGTCCTCTGTGGGCACTGTACGACACGGGTGCACTTAACACACACGCAGACGTAACACTCATACACATAAAATTACTTAACTAAGTAACTAATTAATTAATTAATTACATTTAAAAAATATTTCTAAGGCACTGGCTCTCAGGGCCAAAGCTACAGTGAGGTTCCTATCATAGGAACAGGGCACTGGACCTGGAGTTTCCAATCAGCCCTTCTTACAGATACCACTGACCCACCTGATATGTTGTCACAATCTCCAAGCATGTTCAAGCATGTACATCCTTCTGACAACGTCACTTTTCAGAAAACCAGTGACAGCACCCTGCCCCTCACTCAAAGCTGATCAGTCAGTTGAGCATCAGCCAACAAGTTGACTCTGCAGTCCATGCCTAGCAGTTCTCCTTCTGGTCAGAGTGCCATCGGAGAGTCAGGACAGCACGAAGAGAAAAAGTGCAGCTCAATTTCCCGACCACACGACAACTTCTCGTCCAGGGGTGGTTCTGCTCTGGACGGGGCGTGTGTCCGTTCTGGATACCCTTTTAGTTGGATTACTGGTATCTAGCAATGGAGGTCAGGACTGTCACTGAACATGTTCCAGAGCTCAAGACAGCTCCCAGCACCACTCAGTTCTCAGCTGGGCCAACAGTGCTTGGGCCGAGCAGCTTTACTTTCTTGTGCATAGTTTTCCAGACCCGATGGTGACTGGAAGCCCTGGGGGCAGGAGAGGACAGTTCCCTTTGGAAAGATGAAGTGAGATCACAACCCTTGGCTTCCTTTCCAGAATATGCCTCCAAAGATGACCACAGGGACTTCGCAGGGGAACTAGAGGTTCTTTGTAAACTTGGACACCACCCAAACATCATCAATCTCTTGGGGGCCTGTGAACATCGAGGTAAGATGTTCTTGCCTTCCTTTCCTCTTGGCATATTTTAAAAAACAAAACAAGAACATTCCTCAGTGAAGGTAGGAAAGATAAAAATCTTAAGGATATTCCCATTTTAACAAGCATTCCTATTCATTCTTTGAGAATGTCATACAAGGTATTTTGATCATACTCACCCTCAACCTCTTCCCTCAACTCCTAAGTTGCAGTTTCAATCTGAACATCTGTCTAGTCCCATTTATTGACTGGACTAAGATTCGTCATCTTTGTGGAGGAGGTTGCTGAGGCATGACATCTGACATGGTTTAGCCATTACTGTCCAAGGTCCTCCCCACCCCATCCTTACTAACCCAAGGATTTTTAAGTCTCATCTCATTACTGTGGGCGTGTGGGGAGCTTTTACCACCAGGAATGAAGTGCATTGGTTCTCCTGAATAGTCTAGTTTTTCATTAATCCTTGAAACCCAAGGAGTTGGTATTCTGAATTTGAAACCATGACTATGAGTAATGTGCTGTAATGTGAAAACACCAATCATGCTTAGGTTAAATAAGAAGCAGATACATGACAGTTTTCCTGTTATCCAGAGCATTTACGTTGCCATTATGTTGCAGCTTTGCAACTGTTCTGTTATGCAGCCTTTAAAGATGTATGAATTCAAGTATGTATCAAGTGCTTGTTACTGTGAAGTGTGCAATGAGACATGAAGGGGTAGATCACGGCAAAAATCATTCAGTGTTTACCTCCGCATGCACGCTACATGGGTGTGTAGATCTTTGTCTGTGCTGAAACTTAATTTCTTATGGAAAGATTTGTTCCCATAAAAAAAGCTCTTGCCAAACTTATCTTTAAACTTGACAACCTTTTGTTGACATTCGCAGCAAAACATCAACAATAGAAAAGAGATGACTTCCATTTCCTTAATATATTAAGCTAAAAATATGGATGTTTTGAACAATATATCATTCTATGATCCAATGAGCCAGATCATGTCACTTAGATTAAATAATGAAGTAATGACATTTGTTTTTTAGTTATTTCCTAGAAACAGTAATTGGTGTGGGACAGCAGTAAATTAAGGTGTTTTAATAATAATAGTTTTAAAAGGCCAGGGCTAGAGAGATGGCGCAGCAGTAAAGAGCACTTGCTGCTCTTGCAGAGGACCTATGCTTGGTTCCCAGAACCCATGTCCAGGCAGCTCACAACCACCTGTAACTCCAGTTCCAGGAGATCTGATACCCTCTTCTGGCTTTTGTTAAGTACTTTATGCACATAGTACACATACATGCAGTCAGGCCTGTACACATGCACATAAAATAAATAAATCCTTTTCTTAAAAGGGCCAACCAGAACTGAAAATATGTCTTAAAGTTTTGTGCTATTGTAATTGCTTGGGTTTTTAAAATTACAATTCAATAAATATGGGAGAAAGCACATTTATGCCAGAACTTAGCCTTCCTTGCCTTATAATACAATGGGATTAGAGCTAGAAAATTTCGCTGGGGGGAGGCAGGTGTGCGGAGGGGTAAGAATTTCAATTTCTTTTTTTGGTCTCTTTGAGACAGCGTCTCCCTGTAGCCCCAGCTGGCCTGGAATTTGCTATGTAGACTACGTTGGCCTTGAACTCATAGAGATCTGCCTGCCTCTGCCTCCCAAGTGTTGGGATTAAAGATGTGTGCCACCACACCTGGCCAGAATTTCAATTTCTTAAAATATCTTTGAGTATGAATCTATTTGACATTTACCCCCAACACACACACACCACAAGATCTTCAAAACCAAGAGAATCACTTATTGTTCACTGGTTTTAACATCAATGTTTTTAGTCAAAGCAAAAAAAAAGAAGAAAGAGAAAGAAAGAAGAAAAAATGAAAGAGAGAGAGAGAGAGAGAGAGAGAGAGAAAGAGAGAGAGAGAAGGAAATGATTTAACAATTTAGGATAAAACTAAAACAACGGGACTGGCTTTTTCCTAGGAACTCTATTATTTTATTCCAAAAAATTTTAAAGATTCTTATTTTTTTAAAGCAACTTTTAAAACTAGATCTCTGCTGGCCAGGGCCTAGTCAGTGCTCAGTGATTTAGAGAGGATGAGGAGGCAATGGAAAACATGATCTGTTTGGGCCCTTCCTCTGCGGGCTTTGTATCATTGCTTTTGCTGTTGCGAGACACCAACTGGATTACCATTCCTGGCCTGTGTCAGGTTCTTGAGGGATCTCGAATAAAGACGTGAAGGCACTCTGAAGGAGGTGTCCTAGATGTGGAAGAGGATGCTTCCACTAGTGTTACGGAGGTGAAGAAGGTGTTTCAGGAATGCCATGTGAATCCACATTTGATAGCAGTGGAGTGGAGTGGGGAGGAGGGAGCCTGTGAGTTCAAGGTCGGGTCTCTGTGGGCTACCGCAGGCTAGCCATTAGCTTCCAGATGTCAGCACTACAGGTGTTTCTTTAGGACAGAATGGGGTCTGTAAGCCACTCCCCAACAGCATACCACCGCTCAAAGATTCTGCAGCTGTTTATCATGACAAGACAGCACTCTCATCCCTTCCCGCAGGCTACTTGTACCTGGCCATCGAGTACGCCCCCCACGGAAACCTCCTGGACTTCCTGCGCAAGAGTCGAGTCCTGGAGACAGACCCTGCCTTTGCCATCGCCAACAGCACGGCTTCCACGCTGTCCTCCCAGCAGCTCCTTCATTTTGCAGCAGACGTGGCACGGGGGATGGACTACTTGAGCCAAAAGCAGGTTTGTTGTAAAGACTTTTGGATACTTTTTTCTGGGCTTTCATGTGTTCCGTAGTTTTCTGTTACCCTTTCTTCTCTGAGTCTTCTTAGAGTCTCCCTTAATCGAATAATTGTTATTCCTCCATCTGTGCAAAGAGAACTTAATACCCAACACTGACAGTGTATTTCCCTAGTGGTTTTTTTTGAAACACATATTTACTGACCTACCACAGTGTGATTTGCTTTCAAACAATGCCCAAGAGCAGAGGTTCTACCTTGCAATGGAATGACCTTTACCCTCCACTCCTCTGAAATGACTCTCCTAGGACAGGCTGGGTTACTTGGTAGAATATGGCATCTAAGGCTTGTAGAGACATATTTGGATTTCGACAACTTTTTAAAAGGCTTTTCACAGTGTCATTTCTTCTATATTTCCCTAATTCTTTCCCTCGGGGTATTCTGCTTACAAAATGAAGACAAGAAGCAAATATTATGTGGAAAATACATTATTCTTTTTAATTTAGTTTATCCACAGGGACCTGGCCGCCAGGAACATTCTAGTCGGTGAAAACTACATAGCCAAAATAGCTGATTTCGGATTGTCACGAGGTCAAGAAGTGTATGTGAAAAAGACAATGGTGAGTTCGGAATACAGAGACCGACCCCCACATTCAAGGGCCTTCCATGCCGACAGCGTTTCTCTTAGAATGCCATCACTCTGGGTGACTGACGCATCTGACTGTGTCCCTACAGAATGATATGGCCTGGTCAGCATTCTTTCAGATTTGGTGCCTAGCATGATACAGTTGTTACTGGGGACACACAGCCCCCTTTGGAGGTTCATGGTCTTGTTGATAAAATAATTTTTAAATGGACTCAGAAAGGAGCTTTCGGAAAATGTTGAAGTCAAAAGAGATGGGTAATGCCCCAAGTGTCAGGGTAAAGGTGCTGGAGGAGGGAGATGGGAATAAGCTATACCTTAGAGGGCAGGTGAGCAGACCAAAAAACAGAGAGGTCTGAGTACGCAGGGCCTTTGTTCCTTGTAGGTTTTCTTTAACAGGGCAGAAAACTGCCTTCCTCTAAGGGGACATGGTTCTGAAACGAGCTCACGGCTCTCTCAGACAAAGGAAGGAGGAAGTGCATAACCTGTTTGGGTTAGCCTTGTAGTCAGCTCAGAGTGGCTGTGGGTGGCTGGGAGCTCAGGATGTGCCCAAGATAGGAAGAAATAGCACCTGGCTGTGTTCACGGTCATTATTTCACCTTTCGCTTGCAGATAGTGTAAAGCCTGCCGTTGGTTCATTTTCAGCCTGGCAAGTGGTTGCAAGCAGCTGGTGGGTCTTCATCACTTACTGGAAGTCCAATGTGTGAAAATGAGTTACAAGCGGCTAGCGACTTCCTGTTACAGTGCTTGAAGTCGCCTTCAAATTATTTTAATTCCTTATCTGTCGGTAAACTTCTGACCACCAGTCATGCCAGTGGCTTAAAGGAAGCTGACAGAGGATATCACACATCTCAGAGGGTGCTTGGGAAGTAGAATGCTGAAGAAGCCCTTTTGTTCCCTGAATTCCTGCCTACCACCCCTTATCACAGTCTCTGGTGAAGAGGCACCGTCATCTGTGGCTGTGTAATCGTACTCTGAAGCTTAGTGGTCTGGGTGTGCAGTCTGCATCAGATGTGCTTCCAGTCCCCATTCATGACCAGCAAGCACAGCAGGGAAACCAACCAAAACAAAATTTAGCATGCTTCCCCCACAAGTTCTCAAGTCATAAGGAGGCTCTCTAGAGAAACACGTAACTTATGAAACTCTGCCTGAGATTTCCCTCTCACTAAAAGTTCTCCATTCATGCAGCCCAAATCAAAGCCAGTCAAATCCACTTTTTTGGTAGCGATAACCACTCTGCCAAACAATAGTATTTTATCATGAAATGCAAGATCAGAGTAGAATGAAACCACATAGTCTAAGAGGATAAGAGAAATTGGACTGATTCTGCTTGTGCTTGGTGCCCACTCGGGAATTGAAAGGCCCTGGAAAGTGCTGCATCCCTGCACACATGACACGGAAAACAAGCCACCACCATCTTCCGAATGAGCAGAGCACAAGGGTGATAGGGGCAAGTCCTGCCGTGACTCCGTGTCTGACGGTCTTGTCCAGTGGCATCATTCTCCCTTTCCCAGGTCTGCTGAACACCTCCTGGGCTCAGCTTTCCTGGGCCTCCTCTATTTGTCATGAGTCGGCCTCTTAGCAAGTCCCAGAGCGCTATATTACCCTTAACCGCGTATTCCCTTTCCTTTCTTTTCCAATATACTTATTTTAGTCACTGATAAGGTGGAAGACAATACTTTTTAAAAAGGAGAGCACTTGAGCTGGGTGTGGTGGTGCACACCTTTAATCCCAGCACTCCTGAAGCAAAGGCAGGCAGATCTCTGTGAGATCCAGGTCAGCCTGCTCTACACAGGGAGTTCCAGGTGAGCTGCGGTGACAGGGAGACCCTGTCTTAAGAAACTAAAGTAAATGAATGAATAAATAAAAAGGAGAGCACCCCACATCACTTTGGCCGTTTTTCTCATCTTTCGCTCACCTGTGTCTGCGAGCTTAGCAGTTACAATTATTTTTTATCTTTCCATTCCCTTTTTTGATGAGGGTATGAAGCTGAGCCCCACTCCGCCGCACCTGGCACTTTGGTCCTGTATCAGTCCTCTCAGAAGGCACTGGTGGCTCCCTGAGACCTGGCTTCCAGGCAAGCATTTCCTTCCTAGACCTTTCCAATACTAGCCCATTGAGTGCAGTGTTTCTCCTGAGAGAGGCGGGACCCACCGCTCACCCGCTGGTCCGCTCCCGGGTTCTTCACGGGTTCCCAGAATCCCTTTCCTTGCCTCACTCCAGCATTGGTGGTTGTGATGTCCCAGGCAAGGGGTTGGAAGGTGCTTAGCTGCCGAGTCTGCAGATTTCTTTGGATTCCCTTCTCAGATCCCCAAGGCTAACACTTGCTTGGCATACCATGAAGGGCAAAGGTTTCTTAGAGTTGAGGAGTGTCAAGAGGGAAAAGCACAGGGCACCAGGACTCAGCTCCATCTGGTAAGAGCAGGGCAAAGTCTTTAGTGGCAACAGTCTGTGGAGAGCAAAGGGCAGGAGGGAGACGGGGCGGGGAGGAGAGAAGAGGAGAGGGGCTGGGGAGGACAAGGGAGGGGAGGGGAGAAGGGAGGGGGAGGAGAGGATTGGAAATTCAGGAGCTCTCTAGAGGCAGGGTGCAGTGCAGCAAAACTACACTAGGGGGCAGAGTGGCTGCCTTCACTGCTCCTGTTTTTAAACCAATGGTTTGCACCTCAGAATCATCCATGGAACTTTGAAAGATACAGATGTTGTGTCCTACCATCTAGATAGTCTGATTCCGATGGCCAGAGCTGGGCACTATGCATTAGTATAGTTTAGTTTTGTTTCTTTTTTAGAATATTTTAAATCTGTGCTTTGACAGACAATATCACATCCAACTCAAATCTCCCCTCCCGCCTTCATTTTCTCCTTCTAAAAACTTTAAAAAATAACCTACTGAGTCCAATTAGTGTTGCCTGCATGCACGTGTTTATGGAGCTATCCAGTGGAGCATGGGCAACCTACCTGTGTCCACACCCCTAGAAAAATGACTCTTCCTCCTTAGGCAGCCATAAACTTACCAGTAGCTCCAGAACTAGGGGTGGAGCCTCATGATCTCCTCTCCTGTCCATGCTGTAATACTGACTGGCTTGATCTTGTGCAGACCCGTGCAGGTAACTATGGCATCTGTGAGTTCATGAGCGCAGTGACCATGTCCTGTCCAGAAGACGGCGCTTCGCCACACTCCTTCCCACACTCCAACTTACATTCTTTCTGCCCAGCTTCCTTGAAATTCCCTGAGCCTTCCGATTTTGTGTTGATAGAAATTTCCCATTTGGGGCTGAGCACTCAGCGGGAGTAGGTTCCCCATTAGAACCTATGAGCTCCCCAGCCATGAACTTTTGACAAGGTTTACAGTATTGGGCATGATTTCTCTCCTATGGAGCAGGCCTCAAATCTAATCAGAAAGCAGTTGGCTACCTCCATAACAATTGTGCAGGATCTGTACCTGGGTGAGTCCATTGAGTTTTTTTCTCTGCCAGCAACCTGTGTTATGTAGGTTGAAATCCCACCACTTGGCACTATGAAAACTGGCCAGCAGGGAAGAAGTTTCCTGGACAGTTCCAGTTTGATTTCTCATGCTCTGCGACCAAAGTGTATTGTTTTCAGCAATAGGGTCTTACCATCTAGCTATGGTAGACAACCAAGAGCAATGGCAATAACCTGTGTTGTTTTAGGGGTGTGTGGGGCCTCTGTGACAGATAACTCAGGGAGATGCCCCATGCCCGACACTAACATTTTCATTTAATAACTCATGTCATTGGGGAAAAGCATGGTTCACCCATGTAGGTACCTCTGTTCAAACTCAGTTTTTTGAATTATAGTTTAATTCATTTACAAAACAGTGTGTTTCCATAAGGCTTTTTAAAAATATATCTTTAGTTTGGGTTGACCTGCCCCCACTCCTCCATGCTGCCTCCTCTCACCCCATCCCTGCTTAAACCTTTAACCCTCCCCTCCTACCCTCATACCACGTGTGTTTTACTAACTCCTCCCTCCCTGAAGGCCTCTTCACCTGCCCAATTACATGTGCCCTTTCTGGCTTCTGTCCTGTACTAACACTCCAAATTCAACATGAAGATCTAAGGATCCAAAGCTAAGACCAGGCGTTTGTCTTTCTGGCCTGTGGGTTACCTTCTCAATGCCTCACTGGTGACTCTACCGATGGAAGTGTTACTATGAACTGTTCTAAGCGATTGGTGTTTGACTATCATTAATAGAATGCATTGCTCTCCTTATCACTGATTTATCATTACTACACCACTTCACAGTTATAATGGGTTTGGGGCTATCATACGTCAGATTCAGTCCATACTTTCAGCAAGAGCCCATAGATAAACACCCAATTAGCAATTCTAACAGTTCAGTGCTGAAGGTGCAGAATTACAGATGTGGGGGCCTAGAGAAGGTGCCCTGAACTAACCCAAGGGCAGACTGGGAGGCCTTCCTGGAGGAGGTCAGCTCCCAAGTTTCTCAGTGAATGCTGAGTAGATATTGGATATGAAGATGAATTGGATAAGCTGGAAGGTGGAGTCGAGGCAAAAGTCTGAAGTCAAAGCAAAACCTAAAGACTTTAGGGATTAAATAATACAGGCAGGGGAGTTCAAGTTCAAGGTTGGGGGAAGAAGCAGGGACAGAGGTCTTATGCATCTTTGAATTCCAGCCAAGGATTCTGAGAGTCACCTAAGGACTTGTGACTTGGGACAGGGATACTGAAGAATGTATTTTAAGGTAAAGATCCACATGTTAGGGTTGCTATAGAATGACCCCTTGTGTAGAGAACAGGCTGTTAAAAGGTGAGGTCTATTAGAGAGCTCAGTTGAAGAGGGGGCTGTCACCAGGCAGGGGACAATAGTAGGCTGAGCCAAGTCACAGCTATCAGGCATATGAAAGAGGTCAAAAAAGTCAAAAAAGGAAAAAAATGGAACCTGCAGGTGTAGTTAATATGGATTGCACGTTCCTTGGCTACAATGAAAGAGTGAGCTAGAGGGACGGGTGGGAGATAGGGTTGAGTGGACAGAGTAAAAGGAGGTGTGAGTGTGAGGGAATGTGGGGTGGAGATATTGACAAGAGGATTATTTTGTAGCCACACCTTAAAAGACAGACTTTCCATTTGGAACCTACAGCCAGAAATATGTACTTTAGAACACTGTTATGCATTTAGAAATCACCCTTGAGATTCTGGAGTGGGAAGCCCCAATGGAAGGGCAGGTCTGAAGACTGCAGGGGAAGTTTGAGAAAGATCCTCAAAGCCCTTCTGATTTTGTAGGCTGAAGTACCAGTGTTGAAAGTTTGGACAGATCTCTGGGAGGGAGAGAGGGAGTTAAGGAATAGATATCTTAACAACCCTATAAATCCCTGGGCTATGTAAGGAGCCCCTAAACCAGATGATTGGAAGAAAGCAGGAATAAAACTCTGAAGTCAAAGTTCACATGTCCAGACCACATCTGATCTTGCCCAGACAAGAAATGGGCTGTTCCCCGTGACCTAAAATGTTTCCCTTCCCCATCCATCTAATGATGCTTAAGGGAGCTCAGCCAGCCTCTGGAAAATCCCCATTGCCCCCAATAAGGTAGGTCTCTCCACCTCAGCCCAGTGTCTCCATCGCTCCACATCCTCAGTTTCTGTGCCTGTTCTCTGTTTCAAACCTCTGTGTACCCCCGAAAGCCACAAGATAAACAGCTGAGTAACTGAATGGCTATCAAGCATGCACTTTGACATAGATTGAGTCACATGAGATTGTTTCAGGGACCCCTTAGGGGTGAGGCTTACATTGCCCGCATGTCTTTGGATTAGAAAAATGCCTGTAGTCGTAAATTTGTAAGCCAAGGCTTCCTGGGTCTGTTGTGTCTTATGTCTGGAATTCTAAATACAGAGGCTTTTCCTACCTAAGTGGCATCTCATTTTGCTGTCTCTAGGGAAGGCTCCCGGTGCGCTGGATGGCAATCGAGTCACTGAACTACAGCGTATATACAACCAACAGTGATGTGTGAGTAAGCGCCTTATTACTCAGAGATTTTTTTCTAGAAACATTTATATTTGGCAGAGGTTTTAAAGAGAAGCAGGAATCGTCTCCTCTGTGGGGGGAGATAAATTCAAAGTAAATCAAGCCACAGAGCAGAAGTTTTAGTGCAAGATCACAGATGTCAGGTTCAAGTTTCCTTTGCCTAACAGAGGCAGAATTTAAGGGATGAATTCTTGACCTCTAAAAAGTAAAAGGGCATATGGACCTTCCCTCAATCCCACTCCCTAGACCAAACCACTGCAGTGGTCAGGCCATCTCTGCTTGCAGCCCATCGTGACAGGACTCGCTCTCCTGCTGGCCTAGGCTTGGGCTCAGGTCATCTTGCCTTGCACACCATTTGCAGGAGGAGCAAGGCAGGCCCTGATGGAGGTGGTGCTTGTCCCAGAGGTCCTGCTGACCTTCGTGGGGAGGAGACTAGCAGTGACTTTGTCTTCACTGCAGGCAGGATACATCACTGGGTGATGTCACTTTTGGAAGAACATTCTTAGAGGTTCCATATGTTTGGTAATTTGTCACAGTGGCAGTGACGGGACTTAACTCCGAGCTGTCTGGTGTGAGCTCCACTTATTCCTATGGCAGCACCTGATGCTCTGACAAGTTAGTTATGGGCTTTGGAGGATTGAGCAGCCTTTCTCTGGGTACCCTTCATGGGCCTGAGAGGAGCCCAGGCTGAGTGCTAGGCCTCACCCTAGAAAGCACACTATTGGCATTTCGTCCTCCAATAAAAGGCGTGTCGCCAAGGTCTGGGGGGTAGAAGCCTCTGTGATCACCTGTTAGCTGACTGTTGGTTTTGCGCTGTCTCCTGCAGATGGTCTTATGGTGTATTGCTCTGGGAGATTGTTAGCTTGGGTGAGTATGTGACTGTGAGTGCCTGGACAAAGGGAAGGGGCCCTCCGGCACTTCCTCCTCAGTTCCACAGGGCCCCATTTACTTTATATAATGCCACCAGATGTGACTTGGATAGAAATATGTGCATATAGTTGGCCTGTACTTCCCTTTTTGAAAGCTGTGAACTAACACTATACTTCAGGGCCCTCTGGGGCTGTGAACTTCACTATAGGTTGTTTCTGCTTGTGTCACAGAGCTGTAACAACTTTACCTCTATAACTTTAGGTGGGATATTATGTAGCCACTAAAAATCCTATCCTGAAGGCCATTTAATAACATGTAAAAAAAGGATGCCCCACACCAGACACTTCATGTATACCATGATACTAATTTTATAAAAGAAAATTTTTTTAACTTTAAGGCACCATACAGAAAAGTAATAAGAGGATTTTACCTTTCCAAGTTTTTCTACAATAGCTGTATAGCTGTAACTAAAACTACATAATAGCTATTACTGATAAGCTGGGAATTGCATAATTACAGACTTCAATAAAGGAAAAGGAAATGTCATTGGTACAAGGGTGCGCCCTGTCAGGAAGGACACCGGGGTGGGTCCCTCCACTGAGGGTCGTGCTGTGTCCTCTAAGTCCAGCCTGGCGCACAGTGGCGTTGTGGAGGGAGACCTGCAGTTCCTCAACCTGTGCATCTGCTCCTCCTCTGCTCCTCTTGGCATCGGGGCAGGAAGCACAGGCTTCTGTGCAGTGGGACTCAAGGTACCCCTCCTTCTGTTCCAGGTGGTACCCCCTACTGTGGGATGACATGTGCAGAACTCTATGAGAAGCTGCCCCAGGGCTACAGGCTGGAGAAGCCGCTGAACTGTGATGACGAGGTGTAAGTCGGGCCTCTGGGAAGGACTGGGGCCACTTTCTCTTTCCCTCTCTCCTGTGTAACTGTAATGGAGAAGTCAGCCGCTACCTAAACACACCCATAGTGAGACCCCAAGTAGGGCAGGAACCAGAGGGTGGCAGTCCCTTCTAATAGCACAGCTAGGTAAAGGCGGGGAGTAGCAGGTTTCCTACAGGAATCTAGGAGAGACCAAAGGCAGGACTCTTAGAAGATTGAAATAAGGAAGGACATGTGCAGGAAGGCATGGAGCACATGAAGCGGAAGCTTCATGGAGTCTGTGGCACCCTCAAGGCATTGTCATATGTATGTATGTCTCTGCCCACTCATAAACCCTAGGTCTGGAGCACCTTCCCAGAGCTCTGACCATACCTGAGAAAGCCTGCTTCAGACCAGCGATTCCCAGATTGGGATCAGTAAGCCCTGGCAAAACAAGTAAATGATAACAGGGGGGCAGAAGTCCTGTGGCCAGCTGAGGAAGCTTCATAATAGCCTGGTGTTGATTGAGGTTGCTATCCTGAACAACCACAAAGTGGGTGGCTTTTAGAAATGTGTTTCTCACCACGCGGGCTCTGAGGAGTCCAAGATCAAGTTCGAGCAGAGTTGGTGTCTATGAGCAATTTCTTGTTCTTAGGATAGCTATCAGATATTCAAGTCCAATGCACCTGTTTAAAGTGATCATTTGTGTTTAATGACAGGACTTTCCTGAGTCCTGCTGCTAGGAGGTATATATTGGTGTTTCATAAGAGGATCTAACATTTTGGTGAAGTGGTATTCCATGAGAAAAGCTGCTGTAGACACACAATTCGGTTCATGGCTAGAATAACTGAGACCTAGATCCTGCAAGAACAGCAAATATGGTCTGTACTAGGTCTACAGAAGAAAGAGGACACAGTGGGGACGTGGTGGGATGAGGGAGGCCTAGTCACAGTAATTTCATCTTGTGCTTGCTAACTTCATGACCATACATCCATCAATGACTGATTTCTTTCTTTTTTCCTGCCCCATGCTAAGGCATGACCAGGCCTGAAGCACAGTCAGAGTTAATCCTTTACCTTTTGTTTTCAAAGCTATGATCTGATGAGACAGTGCTGGAGGGAGAAGCCTTACGAGAGGCCATCGTTTGCTCAGATACTGGTGTCCTTAAACAGGATGTTAGAAGAACGGAAGGTAAGCATAGTCTGAGGTGGGTGTTCTTTACCTGGAATTTGTGATGTGTCCAGAGTGATTACTAAAGAGTCATTGCTACAACTCAGCAAGCAATTCTAGGAATGGCCTAGATATTACAGAGACATAAAGGATGTGCCCCTCAACTTTGAGGAAGTTAGAACTGGGGGAAAGAAGATTTCTGTATGACACATTCACTCTCGCACACTAAAATAACATACTAACTAACACCAAATGCCCATAATGCAGTCTACTAGACCTAGAGGGAGTGTTAGTTGTGTTTTTAGCTGGCCTTGCACTTTACAGACGGAAAACAAAAAGGTTAAATGACTTAGCCAAGGATACACAGAGGTCTGGCCTACGTTTGCTGTGGGGAGGGTCAGGAATTTTATTAAGACATTCTAAAAGGTAGTTGACTACACCAATTTAGGGTCAACAAAGTGAGTCTACCTTAGCAAAACAGATTTTCCATACAAAGAGAGGTGAAGAAGAGATGTGGTCAGAGGAAGAGCCCAGGGTACTTGACCTTTTCAGGAGAGACCAGTGAGATACTGGAGGAAAAAGATGCCCAGAGGCTAAGGCTGAGGAGAATGAAACTGACTTGTAGAGGCTGGAGGATGCATTTCAGGAAAAAGCCAAATACAGCAGAGATTGAGGACAGAAAGGTGTCTCCCAGCTATGAAAACTCAAACAAGCTAAGAAAGCCAGGGCGTGGGCCTGACTGCCCGGTAGATACAGAAGACCCAAGGCTGTGAGTCTGAACCGTTCTCACTGTTCCAGACTTACGTGAACACCACGCTGTATGAGAAGTTTACCTATGCTGGAATTGACTGCTCGGCTGAAGAAGCAGCCTAAAATGGAACACCTTCATCTGCAATTACTGTTCCTTCCACTGGCCGGAAAGAGCTGATACCTGCACTAAGCAAGCTGCCCTCTGCCGAGAGACGTGACGAGGAAGTGTGTGCACTGCTGTTTGCCCTTCAACACAGAGCCCATGTGGATCTGCAGTGCGAGCTGGCTCAAATATGACTGTATATACTGCTCCAGGAAAGAATGTGCTGAAGTCAGAATGCCTGTTTGTGGTTTCATATAATATATTTTTCTAAAAATGTGGACTGCATAGGAAGGTGTGAGTGCAGTGACTATTGCATAACTCGTTCTTGTCCTAGATGTTTTTGATATTTACCTTTATAGTTGAATGCTGTAAAATGTTTTGCCGTGTATACATAAAATACTGTATAAACCACCACTCCCTTGATAGTGCAGCGAGGGTAATGTATGAATTGTAATAGAATGTGGGTGCTGCCTAAGAAGCTGGGCACTCCGAGTGGGAACAGAGATCCTCTCACCTCTGCCCCTCGCCTGCAGAATCCGGCTCATTTGGTCATATTTTGTCCTGGGCTTCTACAACATGAATCATTCCAAAATGTTAACATCTGGGAAATTTCTTTGAAGACTAAGCACCTTTAGAGAAGCTTAAGTAAGGTCAGTAAATACATTAGTGGGGCTTGCTTTTAGTTTCTCTGGTAATATGTTGTATATTTTAAGAAATAAAACTAGAAATTCAGGAGTAATATGTGACATTCATGATACTGAGTTCATATCCCACATGGAACACATACTGTAAGAAATTCTAGTTTGGGGGCCAGGTGTGGCCCGGCACTTGGGAAGTGGAAGTAGGAAGATCTCTGTGAGTTCAAGGCCATCCTGGTCTACATAGTGAGTTCCAGGCCAGCTGGGGCTACAGGGGGATGCTGTCTCAAAAAAAAAAAAAAAAAAAAACTATTTTTGATCAGTTGTGGATTTGCCATTCTTGCTGTAACCACGTGTGGTACTAGGTCCTCCAGTAAGTGAACAGTGTCTTACCCACCCACATTCTGTCCAGTGTTTCTCATAGGTATTGAAAATCTATCTTTATGAAAAATGCCTTAAGATACATGCGAGTTGTTGCCGCTGTTCCTGGGCCGGGGGTGCAGAGCTTACAAGCCTGAAAAGCCTTCCTAGAACTCTTCTTAGTTCATTGTCTTGCCTCAGGGCAGTAGAGCTCAGATCGTGTTCTAGTATGAGCCCTATTTTGGGGGCTTAGAATTAGAGCCTCTTTTAATGATGTCACAATGTTAAATGTATATGAAGTTTCAGTAAGAAGTGACTGATCTTAAACACCATGGTGCTACCGACTCTCTCAATCCTAGAACCACAGCTGGTCTACAGGGTCTGCACTCCAGTCTTGGGCTCTGTGGTTACACAAATCAGACACTACAGCAAAGCAGTTCAGATTTCAGGCCTCGAAGTTATGCTCTCACACAGCTCGGCCACCATGGAGCACTTGGCCCCATTCTGACCCCAGAGTCACTATCAAGGCATATGCCTGTGTACCATTTCAGGTTCCTCAGCCACATCACAAACACTCATCACTCAAAAATATAATGTGGCAGCAGGATTGCCCATGCTCCAGGCACCAGTGCTATTGAGTCCCCAATCCCAGAGTGATGGTCTATACAAATTTGCCTTCATTTCAGGCCTCAGTTACATGAATGTGTCATGGGCACCACTCATCAAATTCTAATGCCACTGTAAAATAGCACACAAGGCAGAGCAGGTGCCAAGAAGGATCTGCTTCACCACAGCTTTATCAATAGGAAGAAGTAGGACCTTAGCAGCCATTACCACCAAAGACCCCAACACTTTCCAGCACTGCAGATGTTCTTGTGTCAATTGCTAAGAATCCTTGAGGTTTTCTTCAACACCAACCTCAGCTGACAGAGCTACACCAGCACCACCTGCCTGGTACACTGATGCCGATATTGTGTATCCCACACAGCAAGCATTCTCACAGCTGCCTATAGGGAAGGGCTTTCCACAGAAAAATAGTACAAAAAGTCTACAGGAAGTGACTGCTTACCAAATTGTAAGCAACAAAAAGCATGACAAACTAAGGAGACAAAACGTTAGAACACAATTTCCCTGTAGTTGATCCCAAAGAAATATATTTACCCCCCAGTAAAAAGATGGAAAGAGAAATTCCACACAAGTTAAAAGTTAAAAATAGCAGAAATAGTTCTAGTTATATCAAGGACTGTTCATCAAGAAACTGTCGTTGTCACCAAGGACTCTCCTGATTAGGTTTGAGGCCTGCCCCACAGGAGGGAATTCACGTTTGTGTGAATAAATGCGTCAAAACATGGCTAGGAAAGTAATGGGCTCTAGAAGAGAAGCTACTGATGTTGCTTTTAAAAATATTTTATTATTTATTATTTTTATTTTTTATGTATGACTATTTTGCCTGCATGTGCGTAAGATTACTGGTATCGTGCAATGCCCATAGAAGCCCGAAGAGGGTGTTGGATTCCCTTGGAACTGGAGTTACAGACAGTTGCTAGCCATCACATGGGTGCTGTGAATTGAACCTGGGTTCTCTGCAAGAGCATCCAGTGCTCTTAACCATCAAACAATCTCTCCAGCCCCAGATGTTGCTTTTTTAAATGGTCTTATTGTCAAACTGCCTTCTAAATACTTACATTTATATCCACAGATTTATACTGATTACAGCCAATCAGAAAAGTTTCTTATTGCGGTGGGTACTGGTTAATGCAGAGACGCGTAACTGTTCAAAGTGCTGAGAATAAGCAACTGTGAGTGCTCAGCTGTAGATGGGACATGTATGTCAACGCCCTCCACTGAGGCTCCAGGAACACCATGGAAGAGGGGTGGAAAGGATGTAAGAGCCAGAGGATGGGGACAAGTACTGTGAAATACCGTCCTCTGGACATGACATGGCTGTTGTACTCGTGAACTCACAGCAGCTGCAGTTATCTACACTAGACCTGCATAAAGTCAAACTAGTTAAAAATTCTAACAAAAAGCTCAGTGCCAAGCATGGGAAACTTCACTTCAAGTTATTGATCAGAGGGTTCAAGAGACTTCCAAAACAATATAGGCTGTTGCCATTGCCCTTGGTTTTCTCCAAGAACTGAAAGGTAAGACCCCATTGCTGATGATACCGCACACTCAGACACAGAACTGGGAGGGACAGAGTTGGAATTGATCTGGAAAACCTCCTGCTTGAGGACTAGCTCTCATGATATCAGAAGGTACTAATGCAAGCTGCCAAGGGAGAAAAGCAATCAATAGCTCTACCCAGCAGTAAAGCTTATGAACAACAATGATCAGCCCAGCAAGATATCCTCAGTAGCCAGATATGGTGGCATGTACCTTTAATCCCAGCACTTGGGAGGCAGAAGAAGGAGGATCTTTGTGAGATCGAGGCCAGCCTGGTCTGCATAGCAAGTTCCAGGCCAGCTTGGGCTACAGGGAGACCCTGTCTCAAAAAACAAACAAACAAAAAAAAAAAAAGAAGATACCCTCAATGATGCAATAGTGCATTTTCATCTTGGGGGCAACCAACAGCTGTATTGCTGGACTTTGGACCTGCTCTGCAGGAGAGAGTTCATGCCTAGCACTATAAACCTAACCAACCAATTGTGTCTGGAGAGGTCATAGACCCCGGAGGAGAGCCTACTATTGCCATTTTCTTAAAACAAACATAATTTCTAACTCTATTCTAAATACTGAGCCTTACACTGACAGGTAAGTGTAGTTCTTTGCCTTTATCAAAGAAACCTTTTTGCAGCAGATGGAATCTGCTACAGAGATCCCTAACAGGTGAAAATGCAGAAAATAAGTGACCATAGGGTGCCCAGCCCCAACTGATACATCTATAGCTCAACCCTTACACCTAAGACTCATAGAACATTTCAGAAAGATTGTAAGAGCCAGAGGACCAAGACACCTGCTGCTAAATCGTGTCTTCCAGACATCACAGGGATGTTGCACCCTTGCCTAAACAAGACTTGTATAATGACAACACCAGTCAACATGTGATGTAGGCAGTGTAAGTTTCATAAGGCCTCCATCTCTAGAGGAAGAGCTGCCAGCAATCAATGGCTGCTGAGAGAAGGAGAATCAGTCTTCCCAGGGACAAGAACCCTGATAGGTTAGCCAATCCCAAGTGATCAGGCCTAAACACATGTACATAAGAACAACAATAAATGGGCTCTGTAGGGGTGTGTGTGTGTGTGTGTGTGTGTGTGTGTGTGTAGAGGAGGTCATGAACTTGAGATGGAGTCAGGGACACAGGAGGAGTGGAAGGGGAGAAGTTGGAAATGATGTAAATATAGTACTTGTTAATGAAATTCTAAAAATTTTTTAATTAAAAAATTCCATAACAGAGGGGGAGGGGCTCCTGAGGCCCCACCCCTAGCTGAGAAACTATTGGCAGTTGATGGTTGCTGGGGTTAGAGAGAATCACTGTTCTAAGGCATGTGGCCCCTGGTAGGTTTCCCATGTCCTGTGGATGACCCCATGCCCATGTGCATATAGACAGCACTAACTAGACTCAGTGGGCTAAAAACATTAAATGAATAAATTAAATAAATAAGTAAATAAATAAATAAATAAGGCATGAACTTGGGAGGGTGATGTGATGGGGACACTGGGAGAAATTAGAGGGGATAATGAGGGGTAGAGATGATCAAGATATGTTTATATACATGTATGAAATTTTCAAAGAATAATGTTTTTTTAAAAATGCAAAGAAATGGCCGGGCGTGGTGGCACACGCCTTTAATCCCAGCACTTGGGAGGCAGAGGCAGATGGATCTTTGCAAGTTCGAGGCCAGCCTGGTCTACATAGTGAGTTCCAGGACAGCTGGGGCTACAGGGAGACGCTGTCTCAAAAAGGCAAAAAAAAAAAAAGCAAAGGAATGTTCTATGCGTTGTTTCTCCTGTTTTTCTACCTCCCACACATTACTCCATAATGAAAACACTCTAAGGACCGAGGCCTTGTCTTATATTTAGAGTTGCATAATCAGAGTTTAGTACAGTGCCTACATTGCATATATTTAATACAATTTAATCCTGCATCCAATTTTTCAATATAACAACAATGATCATAAGATCAACACATACAAAAGAATGATCACATTTTTGTCATCAACATACAATCTCGTTTTATGTTTCATGTTTAAAGACATCTTATTTAACATATACATAGACAACAGCAAAAATAACTCATGCCTGAACAAATCTTAACCTAGCAAATATCTTCCCTGTACAGCAGAGCGTTGCCTTTTGGTCAGTGGGAACACTAGATAGCACTACTGAGGGCCATTCAGCACAAAGTCACCAACAGACATGTACAAATGTAAAATCCATGCCCCTAAAGTAGCAGGAGGGCTTTGTACAGATGGAAGAATGCTGTCTCGCCATATTTAAGATGAACTAGAAATGTGAATTTCAAGCAATTAAAAAAAAAACTTTGCTGCCCTGTGCAAAAGGGCACTAAATCTTAATCGTGTGTGTGTGTGTGTGTGTGTGTGTGTGTGTGTGTATGTGTTTGTGTCTTTTTGAGACAGGGTGTCCTTGTAGCCCCAGCTGTCCTGGAACTCACTATGTAGACCAGGCTGGCCTCGAACTCACAAAGATCCGCCTGCCTCTGCCTCCCAAGTGCTGGAATTAAAGGCCAGCGCCACCACGACCTTGACTGGGTAGGTGAATTTGCAAGTTTCAAGTCTGC